ATTGTGGGAAAATTCTTCTACCAGTCCTTTATCACCTTAAACGAAATTGGGTGAATACATCTCATATTAAATTTCTATTAACTTAAATAACTTTGTATGCCAACCCACAAACGTTGTGGCTCAACATTGATCCGAGTCAAAGCAAGCATAACCACAACATTTGTGGGTTGGCACACAAGAGACTAGGGTATGAGAAGTCATAGACTTGGTATTATAGATAGAAACAGGATAGACGCGGCCGCGATGGGAGCTAGTGGGCTGACAGTAGTTTTTATAAGAGACGTGGTCCATGTGGAAAAGGTCTGGCCATGACACTTACTCAGAGGCTTGAGCCTCGAATTAGTCACCCAGACGCAGAGTAGGACTAATAACGCCTCAAGTTGGCACAGATGGGGTGGAAGGGGTCGGGTGAAATATGTGAACCAGAGAGGGCAGACGGATCTTACGGCGAAAGAGAGAGACTGTGGTAAGACCTATGGAAGGATTGCGTAACAATATGGCAGACTCCGATCAAATATTTTAGATATGCCTCTAAAACCGAACGAAAAATGATGTATCGTAACAATATTCTATTTTTTATACTTTGTGTATGGGGCCTAGTGGGCAGTTCAATGATACTCAAGCATAGCAAATAAGTTAATATTAAGTGAGTCGCCGGGGGTAAAAAATAAAACCTACTTATCTGATCGTCTTCTCTTTTAGAGCCAGTATCTTCGTCAATTCGCTTTGCTTTATAACAAAACGTTTTAACTATACCATTTTCACATCCAATAATGATTTTTCTACTATCAGGCTGAAATATAATGTTGAAAAAAAATTAATTACTAGATTATTACCAAAAAATCTGCCTTCTTAGAAAATAAGCATGGCCAATATGGGGGTTTTACAGTGATGTCTTATTAAACTTATCTTCTATAAATAAAAAGACTTAATTAATCTTAGGTGTATCTAAACGCACGAGGCACTAACAGATCTTTGAATTTTGATTCATAACAAAGATCCAGCATATAAAATGTGAAAATTTATTCAATCTAAGAAGAGTAATATTTTAAATATCCTCTAGTAAAATTAACCTAAGGTAAAAAGATTAAGTTTGTGATAAGCAAACTTTCCCTTGTTAAATTCCTTCTCTGTTGATTCTTGCTATTCTGCTGGTTGTAATATTTGTTTAATATACTATCCCACTATAATTATGATCCTATTCATCTTTGTTCACATCATAAACAGGAAACATAAATAATCTAGATTTTTTGTACATTCACGTGCATAGTTTTTAAGAGATGATATCTCGGTTAAATATATTTTGAACAACCTTCACGCCCATAACGATAGTGGGAAAGTATACCAAACAATTAATACAACGAGCAGAA